GGAGTCGAGGAGGGGAAATTAGATAAATGGGAAAGGTCCATGGACAAACACAAAAGGGAACAGCAGAGAAAGACAGACAAGAAGTAAACACTAAAGGGAAAAGCAGAAGAAGACAGACAGGAAGTAAATACTAAAGGGAACAACAGAAGAAGAGAGACAGGAAGTAAATACTACAGGGAACAAGTTGCAAATAGCTGTGAAATAAGACAATAGGTGTATAGGATCCCTCCGGTGTGTGTACCTGTGTCTCTGGGGGGGCACAGGGCACAGTCCATGCCCCAGGCCTCCCCGTGCAGACAGCAGCACTCTGTGTATGTGGTATCGATGTGTGGAGCCAGCGGGCGCGTGCACGTCATGGACTCTGTCACCGCCTGCCAGCACACTCCACCATGGTAGTCTACCAGCTGGGCCGCCTCCCGTTCCTCTGCAGAGACATGATATGGTTTAAAAAATCATAAATCATACACTCGAGCATGTGCACGTCGTTCTACATCAGCCAATCGGCTCGCTTCTCCCTCACTGTTACCCAGGTAACTCAATATAAACACGCCTGTTCGCTATCCGGGCTCCAAAATGGTGGAACAAGCAGCACTTTCATATTTTTTTTCATCATCATTTAGAATCATTTTGTGTTATAATGTAATAGGATACTTTCTTACCAGCCTCCTCAATGGGGAAGACGCAGCGGTTGGAGTTGAGGTCCAGCACCATGGGGTGTGTACAGAAACACATGTATGAGCCGTCTGTGTTCATACACTCTCCACCAGCACACACCGACTCATCCTGACACTCATCGATGTCTGCCGGACAGAACAGCAAACAAACACAGTTCACACACAGTTCACACACAGTTCACACACACACACACACACACACACACACACACACACACACACACACACACACACACACACACACACACACACACACACACACACACACACACACACACACACACACACACACACACACACACACACACACACACACACACACACACACACACACACAGTGAGCCTGTGACCTAAGATTTTCATCGTCATAACTGTAGCTATGTTCGTATGACAAATAAAAACCTTGAAACCTTGAAACACACATTACATTGCATTTAGCTGACGCTTTTATCCAAAGCGACTTACAATAAGTGCGTTCGACTAACAAGATACAAACTTGAAGAAGACAGAATCATATAAGTACATCAGGTTTCAAACATTTCAAGTGCTACTAAACTGGCTTTAGATAAGCCAGTCCTTTATTAGTATATAAGTGCTTTGTTAGCAATTCTTTGTTCGTAATTGTATCGCTCGAAGTGGAGTCGA